TAATAGGTTGCTCAAGGCTAGACAGTAATTCTCCTCTTGAAGGTAGTCTGCTGGTGTGTATGAGATAGGGAAAAGGATCTCACCACCCACTTTCCTTCGTTAACTTGGTAGGGTATCCAACTCTGGCTTGGGAAATTCTTTGAGATTTGGGGACGATGTCTGGGGAGCGTGGAGTTTGGAGAGTTCATTGGGGATGAGAAGTCACTCTAGGACTTCCATTTCTCCTAGACTCTGTGGCATAGCAGTCTGCCCTCTGAAGCTGCCATGTCCTCCAGAGGATCTGATCTGTGAAACCTGGAAATCAGTTATAATTCTGGGAGAACTCCACATCCTACCTTGAAGTTGGTAATTCTATTAGTTGGTAGAGAGTTTTTGATCAATGGGCTAATGAGGGGAAATAATTCAGAGTGCCTCTCAGAAACCAATCATTAAATTGGACAAAAGGTTTTATTCTGCACACACGCATGAGCTAGTGTGAAATCCAAGCGGTAAAAAACGCAGAACATGGAAAGTAAAAATAAAAGCACAGTTCCTTACTACCTAAACACAAGATTTCAGATTTTCCCCCTCTGAAGATTACATTTTCCCAAAGAAGACATCTGGAAAAGGGTGCATTAAAAAAGTGAGCAAGGCTTATTAATTATTATTTATTTAAAAAGCGAGCAAGGCTTATTTCAAGGAGGTCTTTCAGAATCAGATATTTTCTCTAGGCCTAGTTCTTTTTTTAAAAAGTGGGGTGCTCATTCAAACATCCCACCAAAGGAGGATCTGGTAAACAAACCATTTCTCTGTGTGTCCAAAGAGGGGTCACTTCGCTCCAGCGCTTCCCCCCTTCTAGCCCTTTAAATATGATTTAAAAAAAAAACATTTGAGGTGTGGATCAGCTGCTGGAGGAGATGGGGACTGGTGGGCTGCAGAGAAGATTCTTCTTCAGTTGGCACTTCTGTGCTGACCTCATGAGCTGGAAGTGGGGGGCGGGAAGGCAGTGCCAGCAGTGAGAGGCAGGGGGATGGGAGCATGTCAACACCCTCCCTACACACTTTAATCCCACTCACTGCTATTTCCACAGTGGGGCCGGCTCTTCTCGCCCCCAGGTGCAGCCCAGGATGCTTATGTGGTTTTACTCATCACAGTATAATGGACTTTGTGATTCAGCTGAAATCCCACACAAAGGACTTGGCCAATGGGATGTATCACGACATCCATACCAGCGATATACATTACCTGGCACTCCCAAGTTCATGATACATTTGGGATTTGCCAACCAGTGCTGAAGACACTGCTAGGCAATGTCTGTTCCAGGCTCTTCTCCTGGAGAGAACTATTAGTGCTTCCTGTTTTTCCTTGGCCACCAGAGAGTACCAGGAAGTGGATGGCAGAGAGAAACGAAGGAGTTTCCTGTGAGAAGGTGGCTTCTCTTCTTAGTCTAAAATGGCTGCTTGTCTTTCTTACCCTTATTCTATGGTGTCATTTAGACATTACTGCAGTGATGTGGTTTATGGTTTTTCATGGGTTCATCACACAGTAATGTAATCCCTGATCAATCCCATTCCTTTGTGACTCTGTTGGCTATCATTTTAGTAGAATACATGCTTCTTTTTACTTTTTTTAGAAAGAAAGCCTGAAATTCTCAGGGTTCAGAAGCCCATGTCATACACTGACCCAAACACATATCCTGCACATGTGGTGTACGCATCTTTCCAAATAGACAGTATGGTGCAACGGTTAAAGCATCAAATTAGGACTGGGGAAACTCAGATTCAAATCCCCACTCTGAATACAAATCTCAGTGAGTAACTTCAGGCCGGTCACCATTGATTAGCCTAACCTACCTGTCAAGGTTATTTTGGGAATAAAGTAGTGGTGAGATGTTTATGAGGGCTGTTCATATATCAGCGCGCGCACAGATCTGATTTGGGCCTCAAAAAGAGAGGGGAATGCATTAGCTGGGTATACACATGTGTAGCACCCATTCGCATGCTATTTGCACATAAGGTGAGGGAAAAGTGTGCTCATATCTCTTCCTCTATTACATATACCTGTTCCTCTATTGCATATACAAGATTCCTGGCTAAATCAGTGAGTAAACTGGCCCTAAGGGAGCTACTTAATGTTCAAATTAGAGACCAGATTTTTGCCTATGCACATGAAACCAATAAGCCCATTGGACTGTGAATTTCCTTACCAGTATCTGGATCACAGATTCCTGCTCCCTGGCAGTTGCATGGAACACACTTGCTGAAAGCCCCAAGTCTGACAGAATCCTCTCTCTTATAACCAGGAGCACATCTCTCACAGAACTGCCCCTCATATCCTGCTGGGCATGTGCATTGCTCCACCCAGGGTGCCCGAGTGCCAGAGGTTGGCCGTGCCGAAACCAAGATAACATTAGAGAGGTATCCTGTGCCTGAACAAGCAAAAACATGTTACAGTGAATACTTCGTAGACTCCCAAGAGGATGACATGACACAAAAAAACCCCCACATCCCAGAATTGTCTGGGATGACTAAGAATCGCCAACAGGTGGTCAGGCAAGCAGGCAGCTAATGGCATTTCCACCACCACCCCCTTTGTGTGATGACTTATGCAACTATTGTGTGGGGAGACCCAGGAAATAGGTGGGGACTGGGTTGCTTGAAATGTTCTGTTATGGCGGAATACAGTTCTACCATACTCTAGTCTTGCTGAAACTCTAGTCACACCAGAAAATGAACCACTTCAAGTAATCCAGTTCATTGTGGACCTTGCTTGACTTCCAGAACAGGGAAAGTGAAGGACTGATTTGCCTGTTGGTGGGAGGATAGGCAGGAGTGGGGCAGTAAAGTACCTTCATTGTATTAAATTTACTCTGTGCCCCAGAACATGCACTCAAGTTCTCTGTAACACACAGACACACACAGACACACACACACACACACACAAACAGGACAAAGGGTGGTGGCAGATGTTCCTAAGGAAACTTTCTGCAAGTTGAATAGCTCTTCCATTGAAGGAAGAGACTCTTAAGCTGAAAGAAGGCTCTTTAGGCAGGAGGAAGGCTCCAAAGTTTGTTTAGTGGAGTGGTAGTATAAAGGCCAACATGGAAAGGATTCCCTGATAGTAAATAAATGGCCGAGAGATTCTCTAATCCTTACTGTGCTCTTTTTAAAAATGCATAATATGGTTTTAACCATTTGTGAGTGTCCTGTTGGATTACAGTGCCGCATATGTTTATGATTTTAGAATTATAACCAACTACTGTTAAAATTATTACCCAATCTTTAGCTCAGGTTTCCCCATCCTAAGCCCAACTCACCGTCTCCATAAGTGGCTCTGATCCAAAGAGCTGTCAGGTTTCCAATTAACCGGCGGAACTCTATGCCAGTCAGCCTAGGGCTCCAGTTGTTGTTTGGTTTCTCATCCAACCTGCATGCCAGAGATGATGAAAGAATCAGGGAAGTTTTATGGGCATGCTTATACACAGAATGCACCATAGCAAAGACACCTAGCAGTGAACCCCTTCAGAACACTCCTGTATTACAGACTAAGGGGAAAGGCCAGAGCTGTTAATCAAACAAACCAAAAACTCACCTCTGTAATCCGGAAAAACAATTTTTTTAACATCCTCCACAATCAGAATAAACTAAGGTGGGATCCACATATTATCACATTATCCTAACCAATGCTCCCTCTAAGCTGTGGAGTCTTGTGAGCAAAAGTTCTACTTTCTGAGCTACTGGCATTCAAGTTGTGAGCAAGCAGTTTGGCTACTGCATGAATTAGTTTGCCCTGGAGCCATCCTTCCTGAGCTAAGACAAAAATATGTGAGCCGGAGGCTAAAAAACTGAGCTAGCTCACACTAACTCAGCTTAGAGGGAACACTGATCCTAACCCTTCTATGCAGAAGGGGAATCTAGAAGGTGAATGATTTAAGACAGCACAATATCCAACAATTTTTGTATCCACACTTACACAAATGACTGTATATACATGATGTTACATACATTTGCCTGACTTATTTAATGGTGGACACGAACTTCTTTACCAGCCTCCACAAAGTGGTCAGGCTGTGCATATGCCACAGGCCCCAAGGGAGTGCACAATGTGGAGACTTGCGTGCGGGTCAGAGAATTGACACAAGTGCAAGATTCAGCCACCTTGCACTTCAGTCCAGGGCCTTCTTCATTAATCCAAGAGGTGTTATCTATGTCTTAATGCTGTTTTTGGCAATCAAAACCCCTTGTAACTTAAGGACCAACAGAGGTAGAGATAACAGAGATAATTCGATAAAGAGGTTTAGGGAATGAGAATGGATTGAAACTGGCAGGCACAGGAAAGCTTGTCCACCATTACCAGCAATCTCACAAAGGCTTTCCCAGACCTAACCTGGAAGTGCCAATCTAAGAAATTCAGTTATTGCGAAATGGAGCCTTGTCAAGCTTGTTCATACATGCTTGCACACCAATCGATTTGGCCAGGGGTCATTTAGCAGAAAAAGAGGTGCAGGAGCTCATTAGCATAACTCATTTGCATATGCCACACCCCCTGACATCACCGGAAGTGTGTCAGAAGGCAACACCTACTGCTCAGGCTCCACTGGACTGTTTTGGATTGCTAGCTATTGGGGTGGGGGGGAATGTGCAGATCTGTCCTTGCAGAGGAGGGAGAGCTTGTACCTGAATAAAACTTGTTTTTAAAGGTGCCACTGGACTCTTTTGGACCAGGTGGCCGGGGAGAGCTCTGCAATTTACCTGGCTGCTTCTTGCTCTGACTGAGGGCTGCTGGGAGCAGGGGGTGGGGCTCGTTGCATATACCGGCCCCCCGGGCTCTTTACTGCCGGAGCTCCGCTCCTGTGCGCTCCTGCAGGAAATGACCCCTGGATTTGGCATCCCTTGCTCACCCAGCACTGGATGACTGGCAGTGGAAGGTATGAAGTGACTCCGTTGAAATGCAGTGTTGAGGTGGCTGTAGCCACTATGTAAGCTCTGTCTGTGGCATTAGATATAAGAGGCATCACTTGATGGTACATTTGTCAAGAGTTGAATGTGTGAACCCAGCCCACTGCTGCCAGTCCAATGCTGGTGAATCTCTGAGGGAGCTACATTGGAGGATCTTGTACATGGGAGTCTCCATATATCACTTTACCTAAATGTGTAGGTCTTGCTGGCACAAGGCAGCATCCTTCCATGAGGCATGAGGGGGGCAGCAATTCTTAAGCCAGCTCCTTCCAGGACAACATCATACTGCGATGGACGACGTCCAGGTCGATTCACACGATAACCAAAAGACAGCGTTTGTCCATAGCTCAGTTGCTGGTTCCCAAGGAACCTGGCTACAAAGGAAGGGCAAAGCAAAGAAAAGCTCCAGAAGACCAAATAGATGCGGAATTTTGTTTGACCTGAGCAGGCTTAGCTTTATGACAACATAGCAGCAGGGAGGGGCAGCTTCAAAGGACTACAGTGACATCCGTTGCCGAAATCCCACTGATATCAAAGGCCTCGGTAAGTTCATTAAAGTGCTTTAAACCTCGTTCGTTTCCATTTCACTTCAGTGTGGCTGTCTTTCTCCAAACTGGAATTTATGACTACAGATTTGAACTCAGTCAAAAAGTACGCTTGGGAAACTAGATCCTTTCTCCAACAAAGATAAGCTCTCTTTCCTGCTAGCAGACAATGAACAAAGAAAATAAACTCCTGGTTTGCAGGATTTTTTACTCAATGCACATACACATCCTGAATCGAATCCTGAGTTACTTCCACACTAAGAAGATCGTGCTGCGTGGCACAGTGCCGACCAGAAATACTCTTCCTAATTGTATTAATTGTCAGGAAGCTATTGGATCTTCTCTTCACCTTGGCCATGAAAGATGAGGAGGAGGAGGAGGAGGAGGAGGAGGAGGAGGAGAAGAGGAGGAGGAGGAGGAGATTGGATTTATACCTCGCCCTTCACTTGGAGTCTCAGAGCGGCTTACAAACTCCTTTCCCTTCCCCTCCCCACAACAGACACCCTGTGAGGTGAGTGGGGCTGAGAGAACTCAGCTGTGCCAGAGCTTGAGACTGACCCAAGGTCACATCAGCAGGTGCAAGTGGAGGAGTGGGGAATCAAACCCGGTTCTCCCAGATTAGAGTCCGCACACTTAACCACTACACCAAACTGGCTCTCTACACATACTAGGAGAGGAGATAGAATTAAGGGTTCAGGAAGCAGCACAGAAGTACTCTGGAAAAGACAAGCTATTTCCAACTCATTTATTTACTTCATTTATGTTCTGCTTTTCTCCCTGATGCAGATCCAAAGCAGCTTACATTGTTCTCCTCCCCCCATTTTATCCTTGTGAGGGTAATTAGGAGTGCAGGACTCCCATCCCACCTGGCTCCATAGGGGAAAGGGCAGGGAAACTATCTAGGACCATCAGAGAGAGAGATGGCTGTTCCAAAGTATCTATTATTTATTGAAAGATTAAAGCATAATGCAAATATTTTCAAACAGGCAGCCATTTCAGTATTCATCATGTTAGAAGACATAAAACCCAATACTTATAAACAAAGAGTGCACTTATATCTATTTAGGAATGTGCATTCCGGCCTCTTGCCAAGACCCACAAGGGTGGTGTTGGCAAAGATCCCCGAACAACAGCAGACACTGACATTATACAGAAGAAAAATCTAGAATAGCTGTCAATTAAGAAACGGGAAGGGCCCAGATCCCTCCCTTCTCTTTCTAGATGAACTCTGTCTAGAGTCCACTCATATTCTAATAGGTTAGAAACACCCGACACCCTCCCCCTGTTGAAACAGAGCCCGATGTATTGGTTTCAAAGCTGAAACTCAGAAATGTGAACAGGTCTTTCAGAGCAGAGTGCATTATCAGAGAGAAGAGAGAGAGAGAGGCCTATGTGAATAGCTAATCAAACAAAGCCTCACGGGAGAGAGAACCAGAGAGGCACAAGCCAATTCAGGCTGCTACACAGAAATGACCCAGTCTCGATTATAATTCTGTCACAATCCTCACAACAATCCTGCATCTTAGGCTGAGTGTGACTGGCCTAAGGAAACTCGGCAAGTTTCCACGGCAGAGTGGGGATTCGAACTTGGAACTCCCAGATCCTAGTCCAACATTCTAAATACTATACTATGCTGGCTCTCCATTTTGCTCTGATGTAGGAAACTTTCAGTACGCATCTAAAATGGGATGTGTGAAAGTTTTCCAGAGCTGGGAGCATTCCCTGTTCTCTAAGAAGGGCACCAGAACTACAGCAAGTATGGTATACAGTGCTTAGAGTGTCAGACTAGGACCAGGGGGACCTATCCTTATGACACTTCCATGAAACATATCAGGTGATCTGGGGCCTGCCTGTCATTCCCCTTCAGCCAGTTTGGTGTAGTGGTTAAGTGTGCAGACTCTAATCTGGGAGAACAAGAATTGATTCCCCACTCCTCCAGTTGCAGCTGCTGGATGACCTTGGGCAAGCCATAGTTCTGTCACAGCTGTTCTCTCAAGGACAGTTCCGGAAAAAGCTCTCTCAGCCCCACCTGCCTCACAGGGTGTCTGTTGTGGAGAGAGGAAGGGAAAGGAGTTTGTAAGCCGCCCTGAGACTCCGAGTGAAGGGCGGGGTATAAATCCAATCTCCTCTCCTCTCCTATACTTCCTTGCAAGGGTGTAGTAAGCACAAAAGAGAACCATGCAAGCCAGCCCCAGCGCCTTGAAGGAAGGGTGGGATAGAAGTGGATAGAACAACAGTACCATAAAATGGACATAACAACATCATCATCATCATTTGTAACCTGACTAAAATATAATCTAGAATCTACTTGGTGTAAGCACATGCAATAATGCTGATACACACAACAAGTTAAAAGTACATTCCATGGAATGGTTCTTTTGGCTACGGAAATACACACACCTGGAGCACTAAAGTAGATGGGCTCTGGTCTTCTTGCTGCCACATAAACTTCTTTATGGAGTGGAGACCACTGGAGCCGCAAAGGAGATCCATTGGCTTCAGCTTTCCAGCCCTCATCACCTAGAACATAAGGAAGTCACAGTCCATTGACCTGAGCTCGTAATCCAGTCCATACTTATTGACTCACGGTAAAGGCAACACCAGGGACCAAAGAGCACCTCCGTGAGAGCTGTACTGTATAAAAAGAGAAAAGTTTCTTCAGCCAGCACAATCCAGCGGCAAAGTTTCCCTGGAACTATACTACTTCAGGATGCAGATATTGAATGTTGTCCCGTGTCAAAAGAATATTCCTCACATACAGAAAACTAGCATGCCAGGGGAAATAATTCCTTGGTATGCTTATTTCCTATATGCAAGGAAGGTAGGTTTTTTTAAAAAACAAACAAATAGGAAAACATTAGACATGCAATCTCTCACCTGCAGTGTGACAAGGGGCATTTCAGGACTAGAAAAAGGCAGCTTTTCAGCATGAAGATATAATAGAGGCTGATTCCACAAAAGGGGAGGGTTCCATAGTGGTCATGTTGTCAGTGCAATTCTTTCTCAATTCACATTTGCAACAGCGAATCTACATGGTATAGGGTAATCCAGTTTTTCACCCTTGTTAGCCACGGCATGACTAGAATTGCTACAACTGTGGGAAAACCTCCGGCAGAAATAGCCAGAGGTATTGTTGTCCAGGGTGTCTCCATATTCATCCAACTACTACCTTATGTTGACAGGTTTTCGTAATGTTTTCCAAACCTGCAAATCCTATAGCACTAGAAACAATGGCGCAACAAAAGAGATCTGTATACACCATGGAAAAGAATGCCTTTATCCATCTGAAAAACCGTTGCTTTTCTCTAGTCCGGACAAACCTTTACCAGTTGATTCTGCTGATTGTACACCACAAACTGGCAATTTTGATCCTGTATTGCTAAGTATTTTTGCAGCCTACACAGCGCCCCAAACCCATTTGCCTGCTACTTTCATATTATCATTTTGCACCACCAACCACTCAACAGTTCCAAAAGAACAGTAGTCAAACCTTAGCGGTGCACAGTTGCTAGCCAAGGCAAGCATCAGTTCAGTTGAATAAAAGCCTGGAAATGTATCCATGCCTGTAGAAGGCTAGTTGTACCCTTTTCCCTAGCTTCCAGCCCTCTCTAAAGTTTAGACTGAAACAATTTTGTCTAGTTTGGGCCCCATGAAACCACTTACTAATAAACACGGGTGCCACTGTCTAATAAACAACTGGGTTTGGTTTTTATAAGAATGCATGGTCCGTCTTATGCAATCTAATGACTCCTTTAACTGGAGATTTATTTGGGGGGGACTCTTGGGTTAGGATTGTATGGTCTGTTACCAAGGTCCGAACTAGACGTGACATTTTCTTTCACAGAAGAAAAGGGCTTTGTTTGGCTGACAGAATCTGACCAATCTCTTCTTCTTCTCTTCTTTAAATACCGAGTGGGAGGAAAGAGGCTCCGCTGCAGATAAGATCTGAGCTGCTTCGGGAGGTGCGGGGCAAAGTTCCTGTCTTTGATCTCCTCTTGGTTGGCCTGCAAAGGCAGGGGGGTGTAAGGAAGGGGACTTGAGGAGAATAGCCCGTTGGCACCAGGAGTTAAGGTGCTGCTTAGGGGACTATTGTCCTCCTGCTGCTGCTATCTAGCCCACGGAACCAGGTTGTGATGGTAAAACCTGGGGGGGGGCTCTCTCAGCTCCTTCAGCAACACCTGCCAGACATCTTGGATCTTCGGGGGGGGGGGGGGGGAGAGACGGCTTTGGTGGAATACAACTCCCATCCAAGTACTAACCAGTGTTCTCTCCAAGTTGAGTCAGTGGGAGCAAGCTCACATTTTTTAAAGCCTCTGGCTCACACACTTTTGTCTTAGAGAGCTAGTTTGGTGTAGTGGTTAAGTGCGCGGACTCTAATCTGGGAGAACCGGGTTTGATTCCCCACTCCTCCACTTGCAGCTGCTGGATGACCTTGGGCAAGCCATAGTTCTGTCAGAGCTGTTCTCTCAAGAGCAGTCCTCGAAAGAGCATTCTCAGCCCCACCTACCTCACAGGGTGTCTGTTGTGCAGGGGGAAGGGAAAGGAGTTTGTGAGCCACTCTGAGACTCCTTTGGGTAGTGAAGGGTGGGGTATAAATCCAATCTCTTTACTTCTTCTTCTTCTTCTTCTTAGCTCAGGAAGGATGGCTCCAGAGCTAACTAATTTATGCAGTAGCCAAATCGCTCACTCACCAATTTAATGCCAGTAGCTCACCAAGTAGAATTTTTGCTCACAAGACTCCACAGCTTAGAAGGAGCATTGATTCGAACCTTTCTTTATTGTTTCCAGACTGCCACAGGTGCTGCTCCCCCCTTGCTCTTGCCTAGCTATGTCTCTCCTCTATATTTCCCTAACAAAAACCACCCTGTGATGTAGTCAGCTCCACTGCACTGAACTGCCCCCTTGGACACCCCCCCTCGCAACAAAAAAGTTCTAGGTGTGGGGCTGAGTGGGAGATCCCCCACTGACAACCTACTAAGAGTGGGAGGAAAATAAACAAAGAGACAGCCTGCTATCACTTCCAGAGGAAACCTGGAATTGACATCAGTCCTCTCTAGGAATCCCTGGAAATTCTGTGGTTTCACCATCGAGTTTCTGGAGATTCCTAGAGAGGCGCGGCATCAAGCCTGGATTTCTCCCGGAAGCGAGATAGCGCACCCCATGTCCCCAGTTTCCTGGACTCTCACCGGCTGCCAACTTGTCCCCTAATTATGGGGGGATGTGTTTAAACTCACTGTTCCCTCTTTTTGTAAACCGAACTACATTTTCACTGGGCCACCTTTTCGCCTCATTAAAACTGGAGATACATTTCTTATATTTTTAAAAAGCTACACGATGTTATCTGCGGCCTATTCCTTCAAGCAATGACAGTTCCAGGGCAAATGCTCTGGGCTTTCGTTTTCTTCGGATGAGAGAGCATTGGAGAGACCTCCAGTATCTTTGTAATGGTTGAGCTGTTTACAAACATACAAGCAGAGCGAAGTGGCGGCAAATGGACTTCGCCTGCATCGGATTCCCAGGAGAGACCCTGCTTCCCAGCCGCCTGTCAGGAGACGCTCACCCGGCCAACCCACCAGCCTGGGACTCCAGAGGACGGCGAGGAAGATGGTTGGGTCACCGACGCCAAGGACCAACGCCCACAAGTCGAGGTACTAAAGGGACGAGCCAAAGACCGGGTGCGCCTCCCGGCAACAAAGGGACACCGGGAGGATCCAGTAGAGCTGGCGGCTCACCAACACGTGGTTCACTGGCAACTCGAGGGGGAAGAACCAACAGGCTTGGCCCTGGGCCCCGACGCTGGAGTACTCGAGAAGGATGGTTACCCGCCGGCAAATACCAGCAGTCGTCCGGCCCTTTAACTAATTTACTCTGAAGTGAGGCAGGTGTTAGAGGGGAATAAAGAGGAGGGCGATCTGCATACGCGGGGAGGATAGAGTTGAGGTCGGGGCTGTAAGCAGGAAACAAGCTGTGAAAGGGTTACTCCCAAAGGAGTGCTGAGAGAGGAGGAGTCGACTGAACACTTGGCCTGCGAACCTGACCTCGACAGGGTCCACCTTGTGCGGTAACATAGGTGAAACCCAGGAGTCTGAGGGAATGCGCCGCCAAGCCTCAGGTTTCCCGTCGGACACCCGCCCCACTCACCTCAACCCCTAAAGGTGAAGCAGACTTGTGACACTGACTCCGTGTGACTTTGTAAGTCTGTCACCACACCCAGCTCTGCTGCATTAAAGCCTTTGAGCACTCTGGTATTTTTCCGTGGTTCCCTGGCAGGACCAAGTCCAGAGAACCCAACATGTAGGAGTACTGTTCAAAGACGCAAAGGAAAAGGATTTAAAAAGAAACTCTAAACAACAACAGAAGACCGTAGCTTTCCTGGGTACTGCTTTATAATGGCAACATTGTAATGTGTGTGTGCGTGTGCGCTTGGTAAGCAACTCTGGCTGTGGTCAGACGTGTCATTTGGCACGGTCAGGAAGCACTCCTATTTCATCCATTGGTCAATCAGACATCCCAGCATAATCTGTTTTGCTGCAGGTGCACTCCATCACTGCGCGATCAGATGGTCCATTCTGGCGTGTGGGGGTGGGTTTTTTGCCATTTTGTGTTCATGTGCATAAACAAGGAATCGAATCCCCATGGGAAGAGCTCTCTGTGGACCGATTATGTGGTCATGAGTATATCGCTAATGTAATTTATGAACGTTATTAATTGTGATTTTTTAAAATGGTTCTCTTTGATGTACACTGCCCTGAGCTCTATTTTACAGGGGAGGGTGGTTTAAAAATCTAATCTAATAAACACTAAATAAATAAATTTGTCACATGTTTTCCACAGGGACTGGCAGCCATACCCCCGTCTCCCCGTCCCCACAGAGAACTCCCCTGAGAAGTGTCGCAGGGGCCTGATTCTAGTCAGGACCACCACATGGCAGGGGGAGGGGCTCCTGCCTCCCTCCCTGCACCATTTTCTTGACCTAAAATAGCACCAGTGGGATGGTATTTGCCCCATTGGGTGGTTGCACACACAAGCATCAGTGCATGTGCAGCCTCCCAGGGATCAAATATTTCAGGTACAGAGAACAGCAGAGAGCAGGAGTCTCTTCTCCCTCCATGCCATGGTCCCAACCAGAATCAGGGCCCCACAGGCTTTTTGCCGAAGATCTCCAAAGGAACTGATAGCTGGGGTATGGCTGCCTGTCTCCGGGGAGAACAAGTGATGTTTGGCCCTCAGAAAAGCCCCTGGCCTTATGTGCACACCGGACCAAAGCATTCAGCCTTCTATAAAGGTAGGTAAAACTCAACTGCCTCTATCATTGCTTACGTTTTATTCTTTGATGATAACTGGGTTTGTCTTCCTACCATGCATGCCATGAGGTTCATGATCTCAGAGATCTTCCAAAATAACTTCTAAGCAGACAGCTTTCCTGCTCGATTGGGATCAGACTGGATGTGATAGCAGCTGCTGTGGTTTGACTGGCTGGCTTTAATTTTGATTTTATTTTTTTTAATTTATGCTGTGAGCCGCCTCAAGCAGTGTGTTTATTTTGGAACATGCACCTCGCACCCCCAAAGGGACCAGATAGTTGTGGTGATGGTGCGACGGTGCATAGATGGCAATAGAGTAGTAGTGGCGGCAGCTCCTACTCGAAGGCCTGGCGGAAGAGCTCTGTCTTGCAGGCCCTGTGGAACTGAGAAAGATCCCGCAGGGCCCGGATCTCCTCCAGGAGCTCCTTCCACCAGGTAGGAGCCGCCATTGAAGATGCCCTGGCTCTGGTCACCGAAAATTTAATATCCCTGGGGCCTGGAATTTCCAGGAGGTGACGACTCCCCGACCATAGTGCCCTTGGGGGAACATATGGAGAAAGGCGGTCCCTCAGGTAGGCTGGACCTACCTGAATATGTTGCTGAATTAGTTGCTGAATTAGTTGCTGAATTAGTTGCTGAATTAGTTGCTGAATTAGCTGGATTAGTTGCTGAATAAGCAACTAAATCATTTGGTACAGAAGCCTGTAAGCTAGTGTTACCAACCTTCCTGTGGGGCCTAGAGATCTTCCGGAATTATAACTCCTCTCCAGACTACAAGCATCAGTTTGTTCGGAGAAAATGGCAGATTTGAAGGGTGTTATACCCCAAAGAAGTCCCCCTCCTCCTCACACTCCACCCACAACCGGTTCTACACTCCAGACCTCAAGGATTTTTCCAACCTGAAGTCAGAAACCCTACTCAAAGCCTTTTCCTAGAACAAACTATGGTCATACAATCCGTGGGGAGGTCGCCTGATTACTGGTTCCTTAATACTGTTAGATATAAGGGAACATTCCTAAACAATGGTTTAAAAAAATATTTTTATGTTGTATACGATCTCAAGCACTTTTCTGGAGAGGCAGCATACATAGTCCCTAAATAAATAAATTGCCAGTTTACTCCATATGTAAATTGGGGAGTTGGATCTAGCTAATTTTCACTACACCATGAGTGTGCAAATACCAGAAGCTTGCCTTCTTACCTTCTGTCGTTCCAGTTACTTCCCCCCAAGCCTGTCTCCAGTACCAGGCATGAGCCACACTAGACAAAAATACACTTATTGGTGTAGTCTTAGGGTTGCCAAGTCCCCCCGGCCACTGGCAGGGGATTGGGGGGGGGGTTAGGGTTGCCAGATTCAGGTTGGGAAAGTCCTGGAGATTTGGGGGTGGGCCCTGCAGAGGACAGGGACCCCACTGGGGTACAATGCCACAGAGTCCACCCTCCAAAACACCTGTTTTATCCAGGGGAAGTGATCTCTGTAGTCTGGACACGAGGTGTAATTCCAAGGGATTCCCAGGTCTCACCTGGAGGTTGGCATCCCTATCATAAGCAAAATTACACTGTGGTGTATTCAATCTGACCAAAGTATGTATGTGAACTCTGTCATTGAAACACCATGTGAAGCTTTCATCCTGGGCTAGGATCCTAATCCCTCACTTGTAATTGGTAGCCCAGAAAGAACCGACCAATCACCAACAGCCAGTTCCAAGAGCGGGAACTATTGTGATTGGAGCTTATCCCTGCAACCTCATAGGTTGATATTGTATAATAGGGTGAGGACTACATTAGCCGGGAGAGCTTAAGAGTAGAACAGCTTCAATGTAAAAGCTGTTCTGGCTATTCATGTTGATCTGTTTGGAGTTGAGTTACAAGTCGCTGAATAAAGCTGATCTTTTGCTGAAATCACTCGGACTCTTTGTTAAGTAACCGACTTAACGTACACCCTCGTAAATTTATGGAAACCAGTGACCACTGGGAGGTTAGGGAGGCAAAGGATCAGCTCCCTTCAGGCACATCTCGCTTTTGATATAAAAATCAGACCCATCCCCTACCTCCCCACTTTGTATGTAAACAGGACACGAATCATGAATACACAAATGTGTCTGCCGTTATTTACTTCTAGTTAAACCCTGAGAGGCAAATTCAGAAGAACTGCCACCAGTTTTTAAAATCCCCAGTCCCAGTTATTAGCAAATGCAACCATCTGCTCAGACTCCTCAGTCGGTAATAAAATCAGCACAAAGCTCCGCTGTTTTGTTTCAAAGAAATCACAGCCATTAACGCTCCCGCACGCTCGCCAGGTGGGTGTGTCTGAAAAGTCACAGGGAGCCTTGAAAACATAACTGAACCTTGAAGAGCACTTCAAGTAAAATCCGTGTCAACAACAGGAGGGAATGTTATGCAAAATATGCTGGAGGAATGAAAATGTGGCTGAATGGTTGCTTGAACGGCAGTGTGGCACACAGGGGGTTGCAAACTGTGACCCTCTTGCCATGGGCCTAGTTAAACCTTACTCTGTCAAACCTCTGTGAGACATGGCCTGCTAACTAGCGGGAAATGGAGGCAGGCCAGAACTTACAGAAGAGGGGCATAATCATCACCATCCCCACACAATGTCGACACAACTTCCAGCACAAACTGGAAGTGACGGGGCAATGCTAGAGTTTTTGGCTGAGTGCTAGAGCATCACCCCCGGGGTGACACCATCACTTCCAGGTCACACCAGAAGTTGTGTCATCATGCGGGAACGATGAGCCCCCACACACTCCATTTGGCTGTCCAGTTTTTGCCCGCCAACCAGGTAAACATCAGCAAGCAATGGCAACAACTACCTGGAGGTCTCCCACCATAAGTGGGCAAGTGGAGCTGGGAGTTCTCCCAGAACGTCCCGGGCTCTTTTTGCAGCAGAAACTCCTTTGCATATTAGGCGACACACCCCTAATGTAGCCAATCCTCCAAGAGCTTACAGTAGCCCCTGTAAGGAGAGCTCTGTAAGCTCTTGGAGGATTGGCTACATTAGGGGTGTGTCGTCTAATATGCAAAGGAGTTCCTGCTACAAAAAGAGCCCTCAGTACACGTGATCTCCAGGCTACAAAGATCAGTTCTCCTGCATCTCTATGGTGTGAGACAGTGTCCCCCCGTCTGATGCCTGTGCATGCAATGATTCCTGCCGTGGTGCCCATTTCCTTCTTTCACCAAAGCCAGTCCTGTGTTGGTGGAGCAGGAAGGCTCCTTCTGAATTGACGTACTGATTGACACATTCTGTGTTTCTGACATTCCTACTTAGTGTAAGGGCCAAACTATAGAATACACACAAATGTGAGTGACAGAGACCTGGAGCTATTTGCTTTTTAAAAGAAAGCAGGTTTAGGAGGGGGGGATTTAGAACAGACAAGTTAGTGTGGGAGATGCTTAACCCTTTCCCCACCAGCCATTCCTCTGCTTGAAATATTCCCCTCCCTTCCACACATATACAGGAAAGATACATCTCAAACCTTACAAATGGCTGGAGAAGAGGCAAATCCGGAATAGATAAACGGTGAGTGGAGAAAGCGGTAAGCACTTGCTTCTCTGCTCTGCATTTCTCTTTTATGAAGCTCCTTTTCATTTTTTTTTTTTACTTTTTGTGAAACAGATTTGCATAGTGCTTGCAGTTAGCCCCTGGGAGACCCACACCCAAAAAAGAAAAACCAAACCACCACAAAGTTTTTACCTTGCTGAAAGGAAGAGGTGATTTTATGGATGCTGTAATTTTCTGCGCTGGAACAGGTAGCCGAGTGTCCATAACAGAAGCACTGGGAACAGCCCTCTGGATTTCCCGCATCCAGGTTATAATAGCCCTGCTTGCATCTGTGAGAGAGAAAGACGGCAAGCAAGACAACATATGATGGTTCTTTTGTGTGCTCTGTATTGCCCAACCTTTTCTGCTTCCATTAAGGAGGCAAAACACATTCCTCCCAGCAGCCTCCGTGTCAAAAATATTTGCACGGTACAAATGTGTCCAACAACTGAGGCTTCTAGGGAGAATGCTTTTTGCTGCCTTGTCATAAGCAGAGAAGGTCAAGAAAACAAAGACATGGGGAGAAAAAAAACAGAGAACATAATGAAATCATTGGGGTTGGGAAGGTTCCTAAGTTTGATCAAACATGTCCTGGATTGCACCGCTTTACCACCACTAAACCCCCTCTCGTCATGGACCGGGAGGGTCCCTGGACTTTCCCACCCTTTCGTGAAGTCTTGTAAATACGCTATTTGGAGGATGTTTAAGAATTATGCTTTGCATCAGAGACTCAAAATAGGTTTAGACCGAATTCAGTGCCTGTGCAAAACACCTTTTTACATTGCAAGTGATAAATCTGGGGGAGGGGGGGTGATTCGTTTCCCGAGCCTAGTTCATCAAGGTCCATAATTAGACAGCCTTTGCTGAATCAAAACAGAAAAGCTCTACTCTTATATTCCGCTCCCGTTTAAAAAAAAAAAAAGACTTGGGACTCAAGAGTTTCCTCAAGATGCACCGTAAAAGCCGTATGCTATTCTCCACAGCATAATGAACCACCAGACAAGTTTGGAGACCTTTGCAATAAATATGTCAGAGGACAGTACAGGACTGATGGGAATGGATACGTACAAGCTCTATGGCTGCAGTCTGCAACTCTCTACAGAAAGGACAGGCTCCTCGTGAGCCCTCCCACCTTTCCCTGCCCCAGAGAAGGGTGTGTGACATCTGGCTTCAAAAGTACGGAATGTTCCTTTAGAATGAAACGTATAGGTCTGGGGTGGATCTCGCCATATAGCTTTCACCTGCCCTGACATGGCACAGCTCCCAACAAGCTGTAATTAGAATGCGCTCTTCTCCCGAATGCTTGCAGTGGTGGGTCTATCTCTGATGAGCATCGCAGCCTGGAGGGCAGCCCTGTTATTGACATAAGTGTTTGGCAGGCAGATGTGCCCGGCCTCCTCTGTAGCTTCTTTCAACCCACACCCTTCTTAGAGGGTAGTTTTTTAAGTCAGGTCAAGAATTGCTTTAGGACAAGAGGGAATTAGATAAACATGTGGAGCAGAGATCCATCAGCAACTCTCAGTCTGGGGCAAGTGATGCTCTGTATTTTTGGTGCTGGGGGGGGGCAACAGTGGAAGGGCTTCTAGTGTCGTGGCCCCACTGCTGGACCTCCTGATGGCACCTGGTGTTTTTGGCCACTGTGTGACAGAGTGTTGGATTAGATGGGCCATTGGCCTGATCCAACATTGGCTTCTCTTATGTTCTTATGACATCCTGCGTTAGGCCATTGGCTGGGCTGGCAACAAATCGGACTAAGGGCCATTTCATGTACCACATAGCAGCAGAACCCGACTTGTCACTAAGCAAATGCCCAAAGCAGCAAATCTTTCATCAAACACAGGGCTTCCTTCCAACCAAAAAGACAGCCTTGTGCTGAGTTCCCTTGGCCTCCTCCAGAAACAAAGTTACACATGGAGCCTTTTATCTTTGCAAACTAATATGAGTCCTTTCATTTAAGGAACCCCTTTCTCGACAGGATAGAAAAATATGAGTCCTTTCATTTAAGGAACCCCGCCTTTCTCGACAGGATAGAAAGTGTTCTCATCTACTCTAACTAGCTAAGATGGATGGAGATACAGGAATCATGTCCTGGTATCAAGATAGAGAAGTCTGGCAAAGTTTGGAAAGAAGGTCTGAAGCCGGAAGGAAGGATGTTCCCCTAAAAGTAGCAATCTACACATCAAAGGGAAAACATCAGAGGAGAGAAGGAAAGGATGCTCAGTGTGCTAGCCTATCTGTCTCACTGACTCTCTCATAGTCCGCCTCTGAAGGCTGAGGCAGAATCCTTCACTTCCAACAAGTGAGCCACCAGCTGGATTCCTTGACAATGATTAATCTGACCATAACAATAACCTTTAAGGATTGTACTCTGCCAATAGCTATACATACCGGTCACAGCGGTCTCCTGCAGTGGCTTCCTTGCAGACACAGCGACCTGAAATACATTGACCTGTGCTGCCAGCTGGATCACAGTCACACTGGGATATCCTGAGAAAAATGCGGGATAGTAATTTTGAAACTTGCCTCCATTCTCATTGAGAGTAATGTGTAAGTATTTCAACATGGGAGGCAATATAGCTTAGCTTAATCCAGGAAGCCAGTCTAGTCATATACTGGTAATGCACAGAACACAGGAAATGCAATGCATAGCTGGCCCACCAACTCAGCAGAAGATACTTTTATCCAAGGTGCTGGTTCTTCACAGAAGGCAAAGCCTGCGTGGGCAGGCTTTGGGGGAAAGCTACCCATAGCATCACCCAGTTTTAATCCCAGATATCAGTTGGCTGGGAGGGGAGGGGAGGGCAGGGAGGGAGCGGGGGGGGCGCCCCAAGCTCTTTACTGCCGGAGCGCTGCTCTGCCGCGCTCCGGCAGGAAATGACCCCTGATGGTCACCGAGCTGAAGATCCTGAACAAAGATTTCTGTTCCTGAAGGGAGAAAAGAGTGGAAGTACATCTCTTAACCAGAAAGTGACTGGATTTCATACCTTGGAGGGAACGGTAGAAACAAACTTTCTTCCCAAGTAGAATTCATAACTCTCAACACCACACTACACCATCAACGGACCACTTAGCAAAGGAATCCTTAATCCTACAGTTTTGGGGGAGGGGTCAAAGAGTGAACCCCCCCAATAAACACTGCACAAAGAAAACTATTTTATTGATTTATTTACTTCATTTATAGTCTGCTTTTCTACCCAGTGGAGACCCAAAGCAGCTAACATCATTCTCCTCTCCTCCATTTTATTCTCACAACAACCTTGTGATGTTGGTTAGGTCAAGAGTGTCTGACTGGCTCAAGGTCACCCAGTAAGCTTCCATGGCAGAGTGGGGGTTTGAATCTGGGTTTAGTGCATTCTTCTTTAAAGGGCCTTCTTTTAAAGGGCCTTCTTTAAAAGGGCCTTTTCAGTGGTGGCTCCACATTGGTGGAATGAGCTCCCGGATGACATCAGGGCACTGAGGGACGTTTTACAGTTCTGCAGGGCCTGAAAAACGAAGCTCTTCCACCAGGCCATTGATTAGGGAGCCACCATCAATAGAGGCCCTGGTCCCAATAGCAGCATTAGTATTAACACCACTATTACAGCCTGTCCAGACTATGATGTTAATGTAGAAACAACAGAGAGATCACGGGAAGGATGCAGACAATGAAGAAAACAGCCATGATGTAGTATTATGAATATATATATTTAAACTGCTGTTTTGCAGTGAGTAGTATTTCTTCAACAGGTAATCAAGACATACGCGCGCACACAACGGAATTTGCATATATTTCCATTTCACATGACCGCTTTATCTCAGTGGGCTATGTGAATAACATTAGTTTACACGTCAACAATACTAATCCGTGAATTTAACACTCAACATTCTTCCCACTTCAAAGAAACAAATTCTTAACATGCTCATAGTATGTCTGCAGACTATGTTGTTAGCTGATTATGGGTTAATGTTGGACGCTGCTAATGCCCGCCACCGGCTACAAATCTGCACTAGCACTTTATGCTATGTTTTATAATAATTTTGTTGTGGTTTTATTGAATGTTGTGTTTTAGTTGTTCAACACATTTTATGTAAGCCGCCATGCGCCTGACTTGGCAGGGAGGGCAGGATACAAATCAAATAAACAAGTAAATAAAATGGGGGAGCATTCAGACATGAAAATGCTTCACATCTGCAATAAAAAAACCAGCAAATTCTACTCTCTTCCAGACAGTCTGTACCACTTCTAACTGGTGGAGGCAGCAGCTGTGAGGAATTGCATGACTGAACTTGCTCCCATATGAGGGAGAGGAAAAACAAACCTCCACCCATATGAAAGTACATCTCTTCCTACTACATGATCTGCTGTTTGGGTAGCTAGGGCTTATTTTTTTCTCTCCTTTATACTGAGACAAAGTATGATAAAAACTGAAGACGGCACTGTGAGTGATTAAGAACTCCACCAATATCATTGGTACTCACGACATTTGCCCGTTGGCCGTGCAGCCATTCGCTGAGAAGGAGTGGAACCCGTGCTGGCATCGGTCACATTTGTCACCTGTCACACCAGGTTTGCACTGGCACCGTCCATGGTTATCGCACTGTGCACTACCAGAACCTATGTGGAAGCAGAGAAAGCAGTTGGGCAATGCTTTACAAAGGTTTTTAAAGTGTGACCTGCTTTTAAACGTCTTCTACCTTTACAAAAGGAGCTGCGGTGGCTCAAGTGGTTAAGACGCTGAACTGCAGGCTATGGAAGGTCGGTAGTTCAGCAGTTCGAGACCCGAGTTGCCGCATGATGGAGTGAGCTCCCGTCTCTAGTTCCATCTCCTGCCAACCTAGCAGTTCGAAAGCAAGAAATTGCAAGTAGATAAATAGGTACCACTTCGGTGGGAAGGTAACAGCAGTCCGTGCACCTTGGTGTTTAGTCATGCCCGCCACATGACCACGGAAACGTCTTCGGACAGCGCTGGCTCTTCGGCTTTGAAACGAAGATGAGCACCGCAACCCTAGAGTCGGATTCGACTGGCTTTCGAGCAAGGGAACCTTTACCTTTACCTTTTTACCTTTACAAATCCATCACCACAGTGCCTCAAAAGCCACTGGCAGTGCCCTGACCTGTGTAGCCCAAGCAAGCTTGATCTTGATCAATGCTGGCAAGTACTTCGATGGGAGACTTCCAAGGAATACCAGAGGCAGGAGAGCAGGGGCAGGCTTAATTTAGTCACCTCTCTGAATATCCTCCAGGCCCCCAGTAGAGGTCAGTCACCAGATGTTGCCATGACTTCCAGGTGCACAAACCCTCACGCAAACACATATGAAAAAAAAACACCCCCCAAAAGCCACCAGCTTTGCAAATCCACTGGGAGAAGGGCAGCCCAGAGTTTCTACTCCTGGCCCTGGAGTCTGAGCCTTGAAACCCACATCTGGGCCATGGCTCAGTTTCAGAACCACTGCTATACTGCACATTCCACTGGCTGCAGAAAATGTTATTTCAATTTCTCATCAGGTTTACCAAAAGTACACTGTCAGTTAGTGCGGTTCCAGTACCCTTACAGCCATGCTGCTCTATGATACAAACTGCTATGCTCTGTAACGAAGTGTTTCTTCATTTTAAATCTGGTGCAATCTGGCCTTGGTGTGTCATTAGGGCACCTTAATGTAGGAGGGCTTCAACCCTTCTAAAAAGGACTGGAGAAAGACACATGCAGGAAGGGGGAAGAGGGAAGAAAACAGTTTAAGTTTGGAGCTAATAGCTGTGAGGCTTTGAGGTTTCCGGAGCAGGTTGCTTTGGTTCTTCGTCAATAGAAGGTAGCCACATAGCACCAAGTGAATGGTAGGGCTTACACGACGACACCACATGAAGTTATCTGAAGGCAGATCATCAGCTGGGATCATTTTCACTCTCCTCAAAAAGCATTGCCACCCATTTGCATAAGCAGAACAAATACCAGAGAATACCCACTCATGGTTGGCACAGGCCATTGTTCGCTCCAGTGAATCTGAAGACGCCTGAAGACGCCCTGATCTGGAAAGATCCAGGCTAGCCCAATCTCGTCAGATCTTGGAGGCTAAGCATGGCAGGCTCTGGTAAGTATTTGGATGGGAGACCACCAAGAACATAAGAACATAAGAGACGCCAATGTTGGATCAGGCCAAAGGCCCATCCAGTCCAACATTCTGTGACACACAGTGGCCAGAAATACCAGGTGCTACCAGAAAGTCCACCAGTGGGGCCAGGACATTAGAAGCCCTCCCACTGTTGACCCCCCCCCAAGCACCAAGAAGACAGAGCATCACTTGCCCCAGAGCCCCTATCTATACCTTGTGGCTAATAGCCACTGATGGACCTCTGCTCCATATGCCTATCTAATTCCCTTTTGAAGCCGTCCATGCTTGTAGCCGCCACCACCTCCTGTGGCAGTGAATTCCATGTGTTAATCACTCTTTGGGTGAAGAAGTAATTCCTTTTATCCATTCTAACCAAGGAAGTCCAGGTTGTGACGCAGAAGCAGGCAATGGCAAGCCACCTCTGAAAATCTCTTGCCTTGAAAACCCCGTGGGATTGCCATACGTCGGCTGTGACTTGACAACTATTATCCACCTCACGTGTGGCTCTTGCTTGTTGTCCCTGGCGGGGTGCGGGGTGGTGGGGTGACACAGATCCTG